CAGGTGGCTTCTAGTTACTTCATCAGTTACTGTACAACATTCTAGAATAGTGTTTCTCCAATTACCAATGTTAAACTCCCTACTTTCCTTCCATTTGTTGTGGAGAAATCATTAGAACAAGATCAAAAGTGAATGATTGAAAAATGAAATTTAAAGAGAGACAAACCAGCAACTTGTCAATGTGGGATTCAGCAGAACATCATAAATATTTGCAACTTTAATGCTTACTCTATCCAGATATGTAACAAAAAGTGTGACAACCATTATTTGCTTATCAACAACAGTTTAAGTACCATTGTGAAGAGTTTTTGTCCTACTAGCCAGCTCCCAAAAAACCATATGGAGAATTCTTAATTATGAAAGCTGGGCTCAAATATTTGGCTTGTTTTTAGCTAGCTTTTATAACTTAAGTTAACCCATTTCTGTTCATCTATGTGCCACCCTGAGGCTTGTTTACCTCATCTACATACGGTCCATCCTGCTTTCCTGGTTCCTCTGTGTCTCCTCTCCACTCCATCCTTCTTTCTAGCGTCCTCTATGACTGGAAATCTTGCCTAGTTGTGGCCATTCAGCTTTTTATTAAACCAATCACAGGGACCTAGCTTTACATAGTGTAATCAAATGTCTCCCAACACACCACTATATCTTATCATCAGTATTGAAAACTACATAAGTCCAAACATTGCTAATTTGAAAATCTAGGGCATCTTTCCATGAAATCTTAGTTAAGAATATAACTTGTTCCTTTTAGAATTCTATGCATCAACCATTATTATTATTTCCATTGGTCTACTGCATTTCATTCTTCTCTGGTGATGCAGTTAGAAAAGTCAACAAAATCTTTACAGACTAAGTAATTTGTATCCATTTGAGCTAGGATTGTAGTTCAGAAGTGTAGCATTTGTCTAGCATGCACAAGACCATATACAAATAAAATGTACCCTATGAAATTAATACCATGTGTTTTTATAGCACAAAGCCTCAATTCTTCTTTAGATTATGAACCCACCAATGAGAGCTATGTATCCTTTCTGTTCTGAAACTTACTCCCAATGCATGGGTGGGTGACAAAGGCTATCAATTGCCATTTACACATTTACCATCACCGTATTGGAGAAGGATAGAGAACAAGTGGTGTTTTTGCAGGGATGATTCCTCTTGGGTGTTTGCGTTATAACAGAGGAAGGTACACAAACCGGTGTGTTGGGGAAAGATTGAAGCCTCTTAAACTTTGTCCTCGAGCTCATCAGGGACTTGCAGATAATTCACAGGCAATTTGTGTCCCCTTTTCCTGAAGGACCAAACCTCAGATGTAATTTCTGCAGTTGTCAATCATTCTTCTTGTCCCCAAGACCGTTCTGCAAGAATCCATCATGTTCTGAGGAATCTTTCCCATTTATAAATTCAGAAACTGAAAGGCGCAGGGCTGGGAGAGGGCTTCTGCTCAGGTGGAAGGAAGAGGAGTGGGAGGCAGGGACTCAAGTCTTCCCTAATAAGCCCTCCTTTCAGTGGGAGCTGGAATTGGAAGTATATGTCAGATAGAGATTAGCGCGAAGACTTTTCATTTAAAACATTACCCTCTCTTGCCATCCCACTAGGTTAGACTTTCAAAAGAGAAGGCAAGATGCCAGTCAAGATTTATAACCCATTCTTTCTCTGTGATTGAAAGGTAAGAAAAGGAATTCCTTCACAGGTAAGAATAGCAGTTATAATTACAGTAGGCTCTGCTTTTTTTTTTTTAGGAAAATGAAAAGCACATTCTATCACTACCTAATGTATTTCAATCACAGAAATCTGTAACTTGTATAATTATTTGACATATAGGGAAATTAAGGCACAAAATGGCCTGCAAATTCAACCAGTTTCTTTATATTTAATTTTAACCTATGAGACGACACAACTCTCTTTTAAAAAAAACCTCAGCTTCTTTTCTTATGATCAACAAAACATATATATTTCTTTTAGTCAAAAATGTAAACTCAGGTATTCTGAATAATCCCTAGTCCTAGCACTTGAAAATCTACCACTGGCATCACTCATTTTTTTTTATTACTCTTTTTCTTTACTAGATAAAAACAGACTATATACATAAATTGAGTCCAGTTCCAACTAATTTATATTACACTACAAGCAAGATATCATTATGAATACTTGGTAAAAAAACCTTTGGTTCATATGAGGAACAGAGTAGTAGGTTTCTAAGAGTAGAAGACAGATTCTCAAGCTAGTCCTTGAGTGAGGTCCTTGGCAAGGCTGCAAGAGGCTAAGGCACTCTTCTCCTTCATCAACCTGCCATGAGAAATGATGTCATAGGTGTACTGACCAAAACAGAGATTTTAGTAACTCACAGAGAACTTTCCTGGACATTCCATTCACAGAGCTGTGATTGACATGGTGTCACTGATCCTCCCAGCTTGTGTGCATTCTGACAGTCAGCATGTCGACAGAAGCCAGTATTATTATTATTTTTTAGCATGATGAAGGCATATATCTGGACATCCAGATTCATCATGGTTATTGATGCAAGGAGCAAATGTTTTGCTATGCTGAGAGCACAGTCTCTCTGGTTGCCAATCCTCATGCAAGAGAGCTCGGGTTTCTATTGTGCTTTCAAGCATGCTTAAAGGCTTAAGTTAGCACAGGGATAAGAAGGAACATAAGGTAATGGTATGGGCAGGGAGTAACAGAAGTGAGATCTTCAAGAGCACTTAAGCTTTCCACATACTGACTCACAAATATGTGCAAGCTAGTTTTACAAAGTGACATTTGAACTATGTACACAGACAAAATTAAAAAATATAAGTGCCAACTATGTCAAATACCCTTAAGAAAATATGCACAGCCATAAAAATTTGTTGTGTAATAATCTTTTTGTACACTGTGAAGATGTGTCACTCTGATTGATTTAATAAAAAGCTAAATGGCCAATAGCTAGGCAGGATTTTCAGGGCAGAGAGAATGCTGGGAAGAAGAAGGCAGAGATGCCAAGTGACACAAAGCAAGCAGGATGGGCAATATGGAGATGAGATAATAAAGCCAAGAGGCAAAGAGTAAATTAAGAGAAGTGGGTAAATATAAGTTATAAGGGCCAGCTAGAAACAAGCCTAAGCTATTTGCCAAGCTTTTATAATTAATACTATGTCTCTGTCATTTGGGGATGGTAGTGTAAAAGAAAGTCCATCTATAAAAATTCATTCTTCATTCACTCATTCATCATTTACCGAGAGATACCATGTCCAGGAAGTGTTCTAAACCATGTATATTAGCAATGCACAGGGCTGACCATGTTTTTTGTGTCAAATTTTACACCCTACAACAAATGAGATTTAGTTGATCAAAAGATTACTTACTTCATGTTTCTGTTTAACACAAGCTAGAGAGAGACATGATGACAAAAATGTATCCTTTGACCCTAAGTGAGAAAAACATACTAGCCAGGGCTTTGTTGGATAAACTGACTAAGTGGAAATTTAAATGATTGATTTATTAAATTTTGAAAAGTGAATAATGTAAGTAAACACCCTTCCTATTACTATGAAACATCCAGTGAAGTATCTATAGGAAAAAAAAATCCATGATGTAGCTAAACTACCCTAGTGATCTAGAAAAACACACCAAAATAAGGGCAATGACAAGAGTGGATGACACCTCAAGTGTGGTAAAATGGCAGCAGTAAATGAATCTAAAGGACATACAGCCACTTGGCACGTTTTGTTTTGTACTCTTTTTATTTTGCAACAGCATGTTAATTTTGAGACTATTTACAAGTTAAGTTACAAATGTTTTTTGCTTTATAAAGCGAACAGGAACATATTGTCCTTAAATCACATCACAGGCTCTCCTCATTCCTGTTTGATTTAAAGATGCCTGTTGACATGTCACTTTTCTCAGGGCCTCTGAGATGCGCTTGTATTGCCTAATTGAGACTCTCACTGTTTAACTGAGGCAATATGTTCAAATTCTCTTTATCTGCGCCCCCAGTCATGGGCCATAGGTACTTTTTTTGTTTTGCCCAAGTAGCTAATTGTTTCTTTTTATATCTATAAGAATGATTAATGTAGAATTAGACTGCCCTCTATGTAATTGACATTCACAATCTCTGGACAAGTAAGCACCCTAAAGATTTCAAATATGTGATAAAAATGGAAAATGCCAATACAACATCCTTTTAAATACATCCCTATATTTCTTCCTTTTCTTTTTTTTTCCTTTTTTTAATGACAGTCTAATTCCTACCTCCCTTCTTGTCTACCTGGCTCATTGCTTCCCTATTTTTCTTTCTGCCTGCCTCCTTTCTTTCCCTCCTAAGGGTCAGACAACTCTCCCAGGTGAGCCTCCCCCTGCTCAGTTCCCTTGAAGATATATAACCCCAATAAATCTCATCTCTTTCATGTCAAATTCTGTCTGAGCATCTGTTCCTTAGAGGACCCAGACTAACATGGCTTCTTGTCTTCAGCAGCACACATACAGGTTACACAATCACTTTTCCAGCTATGGATGGTTCCAAAGCTGTCATCAGCAATGCATAGAGACTTTTCTCTAACAAAGGCCTTCTAATATTTATGAAACTAGACTTTGAAGTCAGGTGGAAGAATGGGGTTAGGTGATCTTAACAATTAATGAATTCAAATCTTTACCATGTTGATATATATATTAAACAGTATTAGAAACAGGCTTGTTCCTTTTCCTGGACTCTTTTTAAATATTGGGCCAGCTTTCTATATTTCTGAAGACAAACAGCAACATAACTAAACACCAACTTGATTGGTTGGATCAAATTCCTCTTTGCTTCTACAACAAGACACAAGTTTATACCCAGATGACCTGAATTCAAGTTCAACTATCTCTGAAATCTTCCAGGCTTAAATTTGTCAGTACTCAGATTTCCACAGTGACTGATTTCCTTTTGGCTTTCTGTTGGATAGTAACTATCTTTCACTCTTGCATGCTCAATGTATAATAATACAAAAAGAAATCTTGTCCAATCTTAGAAGTTCAAAACCAAGTATCCACTTAGGATGTGGGCATATCAAATATAACTTTTTCAAAGGTGAGATCATTTCAAAGCCTGTTTAAATTTGCTTTCATTCTTTGGGATGGCATTGCAACACATCCCTACCTCCATAGCCTTTTCTATATCTTATCTGTCACTCTAAGAACTATGCTACTGCCACTGTTTAGATACTTTTTTTCTAACACTATTCATGCTCTTTTGCCTCTATTGAAGTCCTAATATCAAAAGAAACTAAGGTGAGTTTTCAAAAATAAAAATTCCAAAGAAGTCATTCTGAGATGTCTTGATAGGTTCATCAGGGTTCATTTATTTCTCTATAATTCTGATAAACACTACATACATTCAAGAATTCAGATGACAGAGCTCATTCATTATTTTCTTGCTAAGCATCAGGTAGAGTCCTTTGAGACCCAAGATGGAAGGTTCAGCATGTCCGCTAAGAAAAATTATAGAGACGAAAACTGTCGGGTTGTATACAACTGATAAATGACAGGGAAAGGCCAAGTCGTTCTTACTTTTTTACAAAAATGATCCTTTTGGAGAGAGAGAGAGAGAGAGAGAGAGAGAGAGAGAGAGAGAGAGAGAGAGAGGGAGATAATGTGCATACTATAAATGGCCATGGTTTGCTGCTGCTGTGGTTTTCAGTTGTTTGCAATTGTTTTCGTTGTAGTTGTTTTGCAACAGGGTCTCACCATGTAACCCTAGTTGTCCTGGAACATTCTGTGTAGATGAGGTAGGCCTTTAACTCACAAAGATCTACCTCTACCTGCTGAGTGCTGGGATTAAAGGTGTACACTGATAGAAGACCCAACCCATCCTCAATTTTTAAATCTTTGAAGTTGAAATTCATCTTGATATATGCTGTGAAGTATAAATGTAATTTAAGTTTCCTTGGCTTTATTTTCTCTTAGTCTGTGCTTTCTGGGTGCTGGCCTTAAAAGCCTATGCTACCATACTCAGCAAAGGTGCAATTTATAAGTTTTCATAAGTATATGCCCTTAATCATATAGAACTCACTCACTACCCTCACTTAAGTTCCCCTCAATTAAAAAAAATTATTGTGTAGTGGCACACACCTGTAGTCCCAGCACTGGGGAGGCAGAGAGGGGCAGGTGGATCTGTGTGAGTTTGAGGCCAGCTTCGTCGGCATACTAAATTCCTGGACAGTCAGAATTGCATAATAGACAGACCTTGTCTCAAAGCAAACAAAGAAAAGAACAAACAAGGGAAAATTTATAGTGAAGGCATGCTTTTTAATTCATGATTCTTGAAGACTGTGGTTGTAATTCATTACTTTCAGCTCTCCAAATTAACCTTGTCATTGTCTGTTTGATTCAGAGGAACCTGCATTTTCCTCAGGTAAGATATTTTTACATCTACCAGAATTGTTTCTTGGAGACTGAGTAGATCTTTACAGTCTTCCCTTTTCTTGCCTGGCCCACACCCCAAAACCTCTCATCAGTTTATCTTTCTCTATCTCCTCCTGATTGCCACTTGATTTGAATTTTTATTCATTTCCTGCTCCTATTGCTGTCTAGTGGCCACATTTATCTGGTGCCTTACCAGACACAGTCTTTTCAAAGGATGTCTATTGAATAAACACACAGGGTGCCAACAGCACAGGTTAATGCATTGTAAGTCATGTGCAAAGTTTA